ATGGATGAATGAATAAATGAATGGATGAATAAATGGATGGATGAATGGATGGATGGATGGATGGATGAATGAATGAATGAATGAATGAATGAATGAATAATACACAGAAACGAGGAGGCTTCTTGTTTTTTTAGTTCCAGATGATTTTATCATGACAGATGTTCAGTTCTGTGTCTCAGGTGAGCGTTCCTGCTGCAGTCAGTGTTGTCCAACGTCTCCGTTGTCTTCATGTCCACTTCCTGTCTCAGGGACTCGGTGTCGGCCGGGGCGACGCTGCAGAAGGTCTACAAGCTGCTGCCGCTGCTGGCCAACAACCGGGAGAGGAGGGGCATCGCTCTGGACGGCAAGCTGAAGCACGAAGACACCAACCTGGCGTCCACCAGCATGTGAGCGGAGACGTCCTGCCGCGGGACAAAACGTCTCGCCCTTCAGCTGAAACACTCTGTTTGCTTTCAGAATCAAGGAAGGCGTGCTGAAGGAGGTCCTGGGGATCATGGTTTCATATAAAGTGGTGGTGAAGCTCTCCATCGGAGGGTCAGTGGGCTTCTCTTCACAAAGCGAGTCCTGAAGTTTATTTGTGTTTTTCACGTTCGGCATCAAACCGTTCATCTCGTTCAGAGACGCTGCTGGGGCTTTTATTGATTAATACTTAACTTTGTGCATAAAAACTGTTTGTGTTTAATAACGGATCTGTTTTCCAACCTGCCGGCAGGATGATGGGGTCCAGGTGAGTGCTCCTCTGACCTTCAGTCGACCTTCAAACAGATTCAATCCTCACAGATTAAATTAAATTCAAAACATTTCTGTGTTTAAACTCGAGCAGAGAAGTCGTTCCTCTTGTTTTTATCAGCGTTGTTAAAAAGTGGACCACAGCTCCGCAGAAGCTCTGAGCTGAACTCACCTTGTTTATTTTGTTTGTTTGTTTGTTTGTTAACGGAGGTTGTTGTTTGTTGTGCAGCGAGGTGAGCCTGGAGGTTCCCTTCAAACTAATGCATCCCAAACCTGAGCTGGGTAAAAGCACTCCCTCACAGCATCGTAACCGAACTGCACAAAGTCCACTCTGTGTCTAATCCAACATTAATCTGGGCCTTTGTTTGTTTGTTTGTTTGTTTGCTGCCATCAGTGAAGGAGAGGTAAGAATGAAGCAGAGCTTTAGTTTGGACCTGAAGCCTGCTGAGCTGCAGCTCTTCAGTTTATTCAGGGTGGAGTTTGGATGGATTATCTTCAAATTACACCTCAGATTAGCTTCAAGTTACTCTTCAGATTAGGTTCAAATTACTCTTCAGATTAGGTTCAAATTACTCTTCAGATTAGGTTCAAATTACTCCTCAAATTAGCTTCAAATTACACCTCAGATTGGGTTTAAATTATGAGAAGTTTTTGTGGAAGAATTTATGCACAAAATGCTGGAGTCTGGGATTATCTGTTCTTGATGTACTCGGTGGTTTATGGAGGTTAAGTTTAATGTTTGGACCATTTCTACACAAAAGTCAATAATCTGATGTAGATTATCTGCAGCAGAAACCATCTGGACGTAGACTGTGTGTCAACCATGTCAGTCTGAGGCCGTAACAGAACCCAAACAGATTCTGATATAATCTGATTTAATCTTTTCAAGCAGCCTTTGTTTCTTTAGATCTTCATGGATCCAGACCTCCTGAAATCAGGATCTGGGCTTTCTCTTTGGTTCTGGAGGTTCGGTTCTGTTTTCTTTGGACTTTGGCTGCTTCTTTATTGCATTCAGCGTGTTGTGGGTTGTGTTTGACAAATGTGAGGACTAGATGAGAAAAGACAAGTGTCCTACCTGCAGCAGATAAGTCTGTTGCCCTGAGACGTGACCTTCAGTGACCTTGCTGGTTTTCATTTAAACTCTTTCCTTTGGGGTTTTTCAAAATAAATGAGCACAAATTGTGTTTTTGCTCTGACGGTGGTTCTTTGTCTGTTTTGAGTTCAGGAGCTTTTTAAACCCGAATGGTTCAGAAGTTAAAGATGGGTGAAAATGTTCAGCTACAAGGACCGAAACTGAGCGACAGAACAGCCCAAGTCCAAAATAAAACCTGGTCTAGGTGCTGGTCCAAACCAGTTTGTAAAGTCTGGATCAGGTCCAGTGAATCAGAAGACCAGTTCTGGACTGGCCCACCTGCAGGTTGTTCTGCTGCTGCGGCGTGGCTGGTTCTCTGCAGATAACGTGGTTCTGCTGTTCTCAGTGAGCTGGAGGAGGAGCTGGTGTTCCAGGAGTTCAAACGCTCCTACCTGAAGGGGATCGTGGGAGACGACGAGGACGAGGAGGGAAATGTGTCGGGGGGTGACGACATGGCGCCCAAAGAGAAGTAGAGAAGAGCCGACGAGCCGACAGCTGGGAGTTCCTGTCGGATGATCCCGGACTAAAGGACCGTTCTGAAGTTTTATTTCATGGAGTGAGACAAAAAGTTTAATCTTTTCTCTCCTGGTTCCAGTTCTCTCTTCTCGCTTCTGTTCTCTGTTCTTTCTTCTGTTCTCTGTTCTCTAGTCTCTGT